ACCAATATAAGTGCTGCGAGAAGAAATAATGAGATGTTTATACCAGGTGAAAACAGTGGTATTGGCAAATTCATTACTATACCTGATGGGTATTACAGTGTATGCTCACTCAATGATGAAATTTTTAAGCCTAATGGAATTAGTATCACACAAAATGAGTTGAATGGGACAGTGAAAATATACACTGGAGAAACAGGTATAGTTATTGACGAGAACTTAGCAATTACACTTGGATTTGGACAGACAGTAACATTACCACCCAACAAAACAGTGAATGTAAATGCATTACCCGATTTACCGTATATGACCGCGTATAAGCCGAATTTTGAGGACCAGAAAAAAGATTCTGTAGAAAGGGGTCGGCTTATCCACGGGATACACTTTCATGATAGTATTTTTCAGATCGTGATCTGTCAGAAACATCGCCTGAATGACGGTCCGATAGATTACAACTTCCCGAAAGTTTGGAAGTTGCCACGACTAGAGCCATTATTGTTATAAATTATCAATAAAGTTATTATTATACACCAATGTTGTCATTATATAAAAAATGTTATGCATGTTACTACTTCCGATAATGAGTTTTCAATTGAATGTTCAAAGTTTATCGTTCTTTGTAAACTCCACAATCTTTACATGTAACAATATATGTAATTCACAGCTATAATATATAATCCCCAGATAAAATCGCCAATAGCTATTACGTACGTTTTGCAAAGTTCATAAATTGATAGTGAACAAGTGTCTACCTTTATTGAAAAAGGCAAATAAACAACTGTATCGGCGAGTTATTCCGTTCGCCATTTGCAAAAACATGTGATCAGCTGTTTCCTGTGACGTCACAAACGGTGACCACTGTGATTGCTTCCTGTTAAAGCAACACGGTACACAAGGAAATGAGCATTGATAATAACGGGCCAATTGGTATTGTCATGTTGTTTACACAAACATTTTCAAGTTGTGGGTGCTTAGCGATCGTGTTGGAAGTAGGGGCTTAATTCCTTTGTTTTCGAGAGATTACTTTAATAAACTGGAGAAGCCTGTGAGTAAGTGGTCATTCAATACTGACTGACATTCTCATCATGAGTTATAAATGAAAACGCCATGCTTACGATGCTGTATTCAAACTGCGAGTCTTCGCTTCTGCTGATATATTTTTTCACGGGTTCATAATTCTATATACACCGATTCACAAAATGGCGCTTTGTTGTTGATGGCAACATATAACGATCATTATGCGATTAAAAAAACACACGAGAAACAGCTTCCCACATTATGAAAGTGGATGACTGGTTTGTTAAATCTTTATTAGAAATAATAATGACTTTTTCAATATAATTACAACGTTTTTCATCTTATATTTTTGAATATCTGCGAGTACCGGCACATGTCTTGCAGTCCGACTTCGCAGTGTTTTTTGTCTTTCAATTCCTGATTCGGCTTATCTGCGGGTCATATCATTTTCTTTCGTATTTCAATGGTCAAATTAACACCTCGGCTTATCTACGGGGTCGGCTTATCCGCAGTCATATACGGTAGTTCCCTATAAAGAGTTGTGCATCCATCTTGATCAAATCAGCATGACGGATAATATTCAACTAGAAAGTCTTTCAACTCTGCTCAGATCTATTACAGTCAAAGATGAAAAATATAATAGCGGTAGAACGGAATCTTTCTCAACATTACAATATAAAATATTAAAGCGGGGTATTACAGACCTTAAAATTTCTGTATTAGATGTAAAACACCAACCTGTACATATAGGATACTTAAGTGTGACACTCCATATTATAAATAATGGTTGATTCCATATTTAAGTTGTGATATAGTATCATTGTATATTTAATATGTATGTTACACTCCCGGGAATAACAAATGGTCAGTCTATTCAACTGCTTCATACTATCGATAACTCGGATGGACAACTCGAAGTCGCTCTCTGTGACGTAACGTATTACCCTCGGTGGACCAATATAAGTGCTGCGAAAAGAAATAATGAGATGTATATATTAGATGAAAAAAATATTATTGAAAAATTCATTATTATACCTGATGGGTATTACAGCGTATGCTCACTCAATGATGAAATTTTTAAGCCTAATGGAATTAGTCTAACACAAGATGAGTCGAATGGGACAGTGAAAATCAACACTGGAGAAAAAGGTGTTCGGATTTTAGGGAACTTATCAGCTACACTTGGATTTGTACGCGGAATTTTATCAATATACAGGTCAACATTTGATGGAGAGACATTGCCCGATTTAGTTCCCTATAAAGAGTTGTGTATCCATCTTGATCAAATAAGCACGACGGATAATATTCAACTAGAAAGTCCTTCAACTCTGCTCAGATCTATTCCAGTGAAAAATGAAAAATATAATAGAGGTAGAACGGAGTCTTTCTCATCATTACAATATAAAAAATTAAAGCGGGGTATTATTTCAGACCTCAAAATTTCTGTATTAGATGTAAAACACCAACCTGTACATATAGGATACTTAAGTGTAACACTCCATATTATAAATAATGGTTGATGCATCAGGCCCTGGAACGCTCAGACAATGTAATACAATTGCGCTTTCCGATCTCGGAGACACAGAAGGATTCGGTAAACCCGGTACCGATGGTAAGTTATACGCTTTACACTTACACGATAATGTATACAAGCCGAAAGAAGTTACATTCACGGGTAATCTAGAAGATTTAAGCGATGTCGACGTTGTTAGTAGACTCCTTAAGAAAAACACTTCGTACAATGTTACTCACAACGACGATAATATATGGACTATGGTCAAAGCAAACATCGAGTGGCTATTGAATATCGTCATTACCCCACCGTATGCGATGATGGGTAAGGCACATAATTTAACTAAGATAATAAATAGTGGCATCGTACTCGCGGCTTATATCCCATCAAAACGAAAAAGTGTGTTAGTCTCTCCCCTGCCAGAAGACCCAGGTCATATGTTATATAGTCGTCTGGCAATCCAAAACGTTAGTTTAAATTTGGTTACTGAATTCAATGAAATTAAAGTTAACTTGAGTGCAATACCTAATTTTTCTGCTCTTATTATTGAAGTCTTGTTCGGAGATGTACCGGTAGATGCCTTCGAAATATTACCAGGTCTATCGATTAAATGGCTCAAGAAACACGAGCGTCAACGTTGCAGTATTATTCATATCGGAGCATCGCCCGTTGCAACCCTCGAGGGGGTCCAAATTATTAAAAGTGGTAGTATTTCTCTTACTAAGATATTCTTGCCGTATAATATTCATTTGATAAGGTTGATGTATACTTTCAAAACATTTAAGCAAGACAAATTAAAGACTATTATATGATCGTAATATACACTATGGGTTTATATCCAGCGCTCGATGAAGCATTTGAAAAGATGGTTACTGTTGATGGATTTCGATTACATCAAATAAGCGACATAAAACATCGAATAGAGAAGGATAGGGAGTTGAGACTTGGATTGTATAAAAAGTATCGCAGAGCCGTGAATGCTCTGGACGGAGTTGACACCGCGCTTGTAGCAGCTGGCATGGGACTCGGTGTAGCAGGTGTCGGTTTACTATCAACTATAATCGCCGCGCCTATCGTGCTCGGCATGGAAATAGCCGCTGGAGTCTCGGGACTGGCAGGAATAGCGATAAAATTCATTTCTCGTAGGTTACAAAAGAAAGCATTAAAACACGATAGTATTCGGATACTCGCCGAAGCAAAGTTGAACAGCATTGAGGATCATATTTCGACAGCAATGGTTGATTGTAAGATATCTGAGGATGAGTTTCGTTTAGTGTTGTCGGAACTCACCAAATACAACGCAATGAAGCAGGAGATTCGATCAAAATCTCGTAAGACCAATGGTATTAGCGAAGACGAGAAAAAAAAGTTTATAGAACAGGGGAGGCAACAAGCGCATCAATTATTCCGTGCCAAAACCAAAGAACTGGTTGGAGATTAAAAATAGATTGCTTACTATCATTAGATCACATTTAGACAAATGCTTACATAAATATATATAATAATGGAGACAACAATCGAAAAAGCTATTAAATGGAGAGAATTACCACAAGGCTTTTATTATATCAGTGATGTCAAACCAACCAAATACGGTTATCAATTGTTTCTTATCAATTTACAAGAAGAGTGTAATTATATAGTCTGGTCTCCTAGTAAAATGAACGAAGAACTTAATAAAAATGTTGAATATCGCTTTATTGATAAAAATAAGAAAGAATCCCTTACAAAAAAAAAAGGCCAGAAAAGATGCATCCGAGACCGCCTTATTCATTCCCCGCAAGGCACATTTTTACCTTCTCCGCAGGGTCTTAAGGACGTCTCTAGATATTCCCGGCAAATGTCTCCACACCATCTCGGCAAACTACTCCAACTTGCAGCTTGCTGAGAAGTATCCAAGACTTCCTTACAGTACCTACTGAAGTAGTCTCCGAAACTTCCTCAGAATTAACCTTATATGGCTAATTAAATATGCTTTGAACCATCTCGGAAAACCCACTTAGGAAGTCCCTGATTATTCTCCACAAACGTGTGTGACATAATCAAAGATGTTTCTAATGCATCCCCACAACACTTGCAAGGAAGTCTCCGAAGCGTCTTCTCAAACCTATCAGGGGTAATTAAATATGCTTTGAACCATCCCGGGAAACCTTCTGAGGAAGTCCCCGAATAGTCTCCACAAACTATTATTAGGTAATCAAAGGTGTTTCTGAAGCATCCCCGCAACACTTGCAAGGAAGTCTCTGAAGTGTCTTCACAAACCTGTCATGGGTAATTTAACATGCTTTGAACCACCCCGACAAAGTTCTAAGGAAGTCTCCGTAACAAAGATGTTTCAGAGACATTTTACCTTTCCATCATTTTCAGTAATACAAAAGATGTGCTTACATCATAATCTAGTCTTTCAACAGCATCCCAGAAGTGTCTGAAACATCCTTGCCAAACCTGTACTGTGAAAAATGAGATAACGAAGTTGTATAGTATTCTCTTTATTTGGAGTAATAACAGCAATAACAAGTAGCCAGAGGTGGACATCATCAACAGAAGATATCATTATATGGTAGCCATCATATGAAAGTGGAAGTCATCATATGAAAGTGGAAGTCATCCTCGTCCTGGCAGGGGTCGTCATGGAAGCTGTCCTTCAAGAGGCTGAAATGGGATCAAATGTTATAGTATATCAGTGACATAATGAGTGAGTGAGTATGGTTTTATGCCGCTTTTGCGCAATGTTCCAGCAATATCACGGCGGGGGACACCAGAAATGGGCTTCACACATTGTACCCATGTCGGGAATCGAACCCGGGTCTTTGGCGTGACGAGCGAACGCTTTAACCACTAGGCTACCGGACAGCCCCAATCAGTGCCATAAACTAATTACTTTATGTCAGATGTCAAGGAGACGCATTAAAAACTATTACAAAAATTACTTTTTTGGGGCTACAAAATTACTGATGTTATGGTCAATGAAACAAACCATGGCTCATTCACTTGAAGGCATTCCTAAGGGTGCAGATCTTCTTGCTCACCACAAAGTTCCAGTTGTTTTTTCTTTGCCGGTTTCAGAACTGATGAAAAAAATTACATGTTACACTGGATGATAAATCAAAGCTTCATAATTCATGATACAGTAAAAATAAATTGCAAACAAGATAAGAGCATTAAAATTGTACTCGGGTGAAATGGTTCCAGTCCAAATGTATGATGACTTAAAAGTTACAAAAGTTGACCAAAGCATTACACATTCAAATGTCATTGTGTTCTAGAAAAATGTGACCGCCTCCGTGGTCTTGTGGTAGAGCGTCCGCCCGGAGAGCGGAAGGTCCAGGGTTTGATCCCGGGCCGCGTCATACAAAAAGATGTTAAAAGATTGTACTTGTTGTTACCCTGTCTGGCGCTCGGCATTAAGGGGCTAAAACAAGGACTGGTCGGCTCGGAGTCAGTATACTGTGTCTGAGTGGGGTATTCATGTTAAACTGCGGCATGGTATCTCAGTGAGCTAGCACTATAAATCGGCATCAGTCCGGACTAGTACAAGCAGCCACACACACACATACACGTGCATGCACGTCGCTATATAAGTGCAATAATCTTGGACGCGACGTTAAACTCAATTTCACCTCACCTCACCTAGAAAAATGTAAAAAATGGTTTTGACATTTACAAGTACTCATATTTGCTCAAAAGTTAAACACATGAAGGATATTTAGATTGTAACACCTATTGATTCCTTACTATGATTCTGGTATTAAATTATAAAAATTAAACCTTTACCTTACAAGTCTGTGTGTGCACTTTGTAAGTACCAGTTAGTTTCATAACTTATTTAGTTACAGTTCCATTAACCTGAAATGAAATTTACCTGACACTTAACAAAGATACTGACCTTCGAGTACCACACCGGTGTCGGTAGCATCGTAAAAACACCAAGTTGCTGGCCACCAGGCAGCAACTGGCTTCTTCTCCTTGATCCCTTCTCATGATACAGGCACATCAGCAGGAGTTCACGTCTTCCTATGAAGTATCGTTCCTTTTTTGTCTTCAAAAATCACCACAAGGAAGGGGGCTGAAAAATCAAGTTGCATTCATTAATAACCCAAAACTAAAAGGCAGGTATTGCTGGTCACAAAACAAAGTTGACACTGGCAACTTTGCCAAAATTTCAACAACCTGGTGCCAGTCCAAAACGTAATTCTAGATCTATACCGCAATGGCGATGGCGATTGAGCATGTCGACGGGAAAAACGATAAGACCACAACATTTACTGGGAACATTTATCTATTTCAAACAAACGTTACAATACATGAGTTTCCATTACTTACGAGTTCTTAAAAAAATATCAACCAACATCCTCGTTATAAAACAGCAGGTTACAAAATGGCGGCGATTTCCGTACTAATTACCATACAACAATGGACATTTGTTTGTAAAAAAACCTAAGTTTTAATTTCAAATACAACTTAAGACAAAAAGAGTTTAACATAATACAAATATATAATTTGTTATCTATTAATTCAATAATTTTATAAACTTATAACTACAGTCTGTGATCATATTTCACATTTCAGTGACCAGATACATAATTTGTTTTGAAAAAATACTATTTATCTCAGTCCCACATCGGTGCTCTCCGTAAATTTTATGGAGAACCACGATGTGATCGAAACATGTAATCTGAAAGGCCTGCGCAATATTACAAAATTACATCTGCGCCTATTATTTTCATAAATAGTCCCAAATTAGATGAGTAAAGGGTCTAATATTGAAGTTTCTAACTGACTTATTTCAGTTTGAGGTTCCAAATTAGAACATAAATTTACGATTTATAAATAGAGCTTGAAATAAGATTTCTCTTTCAGCGAATGCTAAAACTAAGTTCAATATCTAAGTGAGAATTGGTTTGGATCGGGGGTCGTTTCGGTGGATTTATTTAGCATAATTGTTATGAAGACAATATAGAGGGCTATATTTTAAAAGTATATTTATGTAACACAAACAGATATAAAGTGTACCTACCGTTTGTTCAGGAAGATATACGTTGTCATCCTTGCTGAACTCAGAGTCGGCATAGATTCTATCTCGATGAAGGTTTGGTGACTCTCTTTTTCAGTTTTTGCTTCTCTTTCAAATTATTATTTTTTATCGATAGATTAAAATATTATTCACTAGATCTATTTCCCGCAATGTTATTGAAAATAGAATTCTCCGACACACACTTTGACAATGGGTCCACATCGAACAAGTCAAAGAGCAAAATAAAAACGTGTCAATCAAATCTTTAAATATATTTTACAAAGTAATAAATGAAATCAACAAAATTATTTATCTGTCTAAAAGTTGTCAAACTTAGATATAAGTTATCATTTCCATCTTTTCGTGCGATCGCGTGTGATGCGAGTCAAATGGCATCGCGGCTTTTAATAGTTTTATCGCCTCGATTTCTCCACAATGTTTAATGCCAAATATATGCAAGAAAAATCTTTGTCTCAGCTCGTAACCTGGCACGATACATCCACGAAGTTTCATATTGTTAATATAGATCGCGATTTCCTGCTTAAAACGTTCAGAACAACACGATTTAACAAAAACCTTTCGTCAAAGTCTGATATACACGAGTACCGTTGCTGTAATTGGTTGGATTAGGTCACGTCCTCAATTTGACGAATCACGAATCTTATAGCAGATTTCGTCAAGAAAGCGTCACCAGAAACCAATAAAATAGCATGTTATAGTAATGTAAATACTCAAGGCGAGTTGACTGTCGTGTAGATGACTAAATAAGCGTTGAAGATAATGGTGTGTCACATGGTATGTGTTATTCATGCGAAGCTTCGAAAACGGAGATATTTTCTTCATGCTACAGAGTGGACAGCCGCTGTCATCGGGAAAATGATGACAGATATTTTTAATAATTCTTTTGAAAATAATTTTCCGATTAGAGTCTAGATCTACGTAAACAATAAATATGAAAAACAACAACAACAATAAAAAGGTAGATCCACGGACGTATATATACATCTTTGGTAGATCTAAGTTCTGAAAATCGTCAAATTTTTGTTTCCTCTGTCCTCAATCTGGACGTTATGAATGTGTTAGCTTGGATTATTTTTATTTACAACACACTTAATTTAGTTGTAAATGCATCATTTAAATAATGTGATAAACATAACTTTCATTTTTTGTGTGTGTGTGTGTGTGTGTGTGTGTGTGTGTGTGTGTGTGTGTGTGTGTGTGTGTGTGAAGAGGGACCACACCCAATGGACACAGAACAGCTACAATTAAAATATACCAGTTGTGAACAGAAGCTCATAAATCCTGAGACTATTATAACTGGTATTGCAGTACTTACTAAGGTACAAAGACAATGAGTAACTTGAGTGATGTGTTTGAATTTCCTGATTGATCATTCATTCTAAGTATAATTTAACTTGAATAAACACTATGACAGTCACTTGACTTGTATTTGAATTATGATTATAACCATTAAAACAGCCAATCATGTATTTCCTGGCACCCCTAAAAGTGTAATGGCACACTTAATTTGGCATAATTGTGCCCATTGGCAAACTTGAAATAAATTTAATTTTGATCCCTGTCATGTATATCTTGAGCCACAAATCAGCCACTATGTCTACAAGTAATATTACTTTATGTTGCCTTTTCTTATATACCTTTTTCTGAGGAGACTGTTATATGGCACACGGACATTGTTGCTTTCTGATTGGAATTTATGAATATATTGTACATTCCTTTTCTTTTCTGATTATTGCATACTGATAATTCCTGCATTTGTTTTAACTGTATTTAATAGAAATATACCTCGAAGCATTAATTGTGTTGGGTATTTAATTATTAATGTCCTTGCTGACATATATAGGATTTCTAATTCATTGCATGTGAATGTATAAGATAAAGAGCTTTAGTATTATCCTTAAAGAAAATTCAAAATAAATAATAATGATCATGTTCCTCTTCCAAGCAAGGGACCTAGTTTTCCGAGATCTTGACTAAAGCTCAATGTATTGATCTGTATCAATTGAAAGAAAGTTTTTGAAAGATATACACTTAAAAAAGTCTTCATATAGTTTTGGCTAGTGAGGATGCATTCACATCATCATTGCAAACCGGTTATCAAGTTGCCTTGTGAGGAAGTCTCTGAACAGTCTTTGCAAAGTTCTTTCGAAGATTTCCACAAGCAAAGAAGACTCCACAGTATCTTTTCAAATTTGTTTGTTTGTAAAGAAGTCTCCGAATAGTCCTCACAAAGTCTTTGTGGGGTCTTCGCTAGCGAGGATGCACTGATACATCTTTGCAAACCTTCAGCTACTTTATGGCCCTTCTGAGGAAGTCTCCGAATAGTCTTTGCAAAGTTGTTTTGAAGGTCTTCGCTAGCGAAGACGTATCGGAGACATCTTAAGAGATCTCCTAAGACATCCCCTGCTAGTGGAGATGCACTAGAAACGTCTTCGGTAGGTTAATGCCTTTGTGGGGAAGTACTTGATTATTCCCCAGAATAGTCTTCGATGGGTCTCCGCAAAGTCTCGGCTAGCCGAGACCATAAAAATTGCCTTAAATCCCACAAAAGATGCATCGGGGCGGTCTCGGGGTGGTCTCGGGGCGGTCTCGGATACATCTTTTCTGTTTTTTTTGTAGTAGCAGTATAGGTATATAAATCTGGCTCCAGTGGAAGTGGTCCAGAACCCCCATTGCCTATACTACTAACGGACATAACTCCATGAGATCCTCTCTGCAGGTGATTTTAGTAACATTTTTCATTATAAAAATTCTGTCACTAGTCTCATGTCATAGATCAATTTCTGTACTCTAAACCAAGTTCCAAAGGTGCAAGACTTCACATTTCAAGACATGTAATGGCTTCGTCACATTTCAAGACAACTTTTCAGAATCAGGAATTCTGTATCCTCCAATGAAGAAAGGGCAGTGTTGCGCTCTTGTGACCAGCCATTATAATATGCTAAAAAAAATTAAATGAAGACAGATTAACCAGATGAATGTTCACACATCTAACTACGTCTTTTATCAGCTCATGTCCTTTGTATCAGGTTGTAAGACTGGACTGTGGGGATGTATTTGATATGACTGTTTATGCAAGAAATGTTTGAAGGAAAGTCATATCGCCAGACAATCAGAGCATGCCTTTTGACTTGTGCAGCACTTCACATTCTTCTCTTTGAACATCCACAGGAGAGTGAAGCTATGGACAGTGTGAGCCTGGATGATTCCCCAGATAGTAATGTGAGCTTGACACAGTTACCAGAACCATCACTTACAAACAGCCTCATGTTCAATGTTGCATGGATTTTGCAAGTCATGGTGAAGATTATTGGGACATAGATGGACAAACCTTGAAATTATGAATAATGTACCCGGTACATGAATCCACTAAATGCATGTTCATCAGAGCAGGGAGAACTGTTAATTGGCTAATTCATTTTGTTTGCTGCTGAGGGACATAATTATGCTAAATATTGCGGAATGTACATTCAGGATTCTTTTAGCCCATGTGAGTGTTTTCAAGAACCACTGTCCCAAGGTCTGTTTCCATTACTTAAATATGTTTGGGAGTGGTACTGGGTCAGATGTAGTGATTGAGCAGTCCCTCATGTGGTCAAGTGCCGTGCTAAACACTGGTTTTCTAGAAGGATGCACTGTTATTGATGGTTGTGCTTCTACAACAACAGCTCAAATGGGCCAAAGTTAGAACGATGTTTGTTTGGCCAACACAAATGCTGTTTTCCAGAATGAATATGATGTGATGGTTGTAGTAGACAGTTGGGATGTGGAGACAACAAAAGACCAGGAACAAAAATGACAGTAATTGTTGAAAACAGAAATGCCTGATATAATGAAGTCCCGTACTTCAGTCCCAGGTGATGCAGCTAGCTTTCTGGCAATTAAGGTATTCCCTGTATAATGGGCAGTTTTGAAAATCATAAAACACTTTCTTTTATTATCATATACACCCTTCCCTGGAATTATTTTTAAAGTTTTATCAATATTCACCGTTCAGTTAATCTGTTTCATTAACTTTTATACGCCCACCCCCCTTTCTACAAAATTCGAAATCATGGAACAGGGGTATGTATGTTCAAATGATCATGAACTTGGCATTTATTTCTTAAATATTTCATAATAGATATATATCAGCAGGGAAATCATGTAAGTTTATAAATATAAGCAGTAAATTCAATGCAGAAGTAGTGTATTGAGGCATTCAACATGTGAACTTGTAATTAGGCTTCTGAAATGCTTGTTTTTTCCATGTCTTTTTTCAATTGAGACATTGTATTTATTGCTCTGGAAGTACAAACAAGACACATAGATATGAAAACACTTCTGTAAAAACATCTGAAGTGACTATAAAATAAAAACAAGACAAAAGAAAAACAATTTACCATTATTTATTAGTATTATAACCCCAATCCTAATAACACCCCCCACCCCCCACCGCTATTTTTCTGTTTGACCAAATATAATGCCACAAAGAACCAAGCCTCAACAACTCGAAAATACTAAATATAGTGACTTAGTATAATGAGTGATGGTAACATGTGTAAACAATGAATATTTCCCTGTGTTTTTTTTTCACCTTGACAATGACCTTGACCTCTGACATTGGCCTTGCCTGCAGCAGTTCACATAAAAACAACCAAGCAACGTGTGTCATTTCACCCTGGAAATGTTATTATATTGTAGCAGGGAATGAGCCTTAAGAACAAATGAGTAATACATGTGAGAATTACATATATTTACTTCAAATAAAGAAAATCTCTCATAAAGCACTTGGATTTTCCCCCTGTATTCTCAACTTGCGAAATTGTCCTTTACATGACAATACTACTCAAGAATGTGAAGTTATTGGGATTTTTTGGAAAATTACACAATTGAAATGTCAAACCCATGTACAAGTCAATAAGTCATTTCTAATAAAGATATGAATGAATAAATACATTTCTGTATTTCTTACAGATTTGAAAGCGAAGATGATAGATAGGCAAATACACTATTTACAATACATTATTTATATTACGTGACCATATACAATGAAAGCATGCGATACAGTACTCATGAATACACAATTTACAATGTACAAATTGGGAGCAGAAGAGCGTATGTGTCTAGTACATACATATACATCAGGTGTTTCTCTAAAATTCAAAGAGACAGTATCATGTATTCCAAGTATCATAATCAACTTAGTCATGAACATCTGCACCCAGAGACAACAAAAGCATGTCGTCAAGCATTTCTATTTTCACATATACATCAACATCAAGTTTATCAGTCAGACCTGAACAAAAACGATTTCTGACTAACATAACCATCAGATGATGACAAATTTGAAAGAACAAACCATCTGTTGCTTGGTTTAGTCCTTGTTGAGAAAGAGCACTAATTTCGGAATGACATTGTCAAGGGTTTTCTTTACATCTGTCACACGTGGCTGTCCCTCAGAGTTTTTATATGTAAAAGTATTGCGAAGACCATCTTCTCCATCACGCTGAAAAATTTTGCGCAGGTGACCCAGATTCAGTCCTGATCCGGCAATTTTCTCGGCAATTGACATTTTCATGACACCTTGGGCTAAGAGAGAATGGAGTGTTTTGATATGTTTGGCCTTTTCTTTGTTGAAGAGAAGTAGATTGTGGACTGCTGATGGTGGGAAACTGAACCTAGCAAGTTCCTGAATTTTCATCTTTGTGTGAGATACTAGCTTACCAAGGACCTTTACATCTTCTATGGCATTGTGTGCTTCATATGATGAGTGCAAAAAGGTCTTGGCTAATTCTTCTTGCTTGTATGACGATTGTCCAGGAAAGGCCTTCTTGAAGACAGGTAGGCTATCAATAAGACCTGATACACAGTTGAAAAATTGTGCTTCACACTGGATGTTGATCAATGCAGATGAAAATACAGGAAAATCAAATCTTCTTCCATAAGTCGCTACAAGGAATACATTGGGAAACCCACTGAGCCATTTACAAAACTTGTCAACTGCAAATTGAACAGTTTCAGGCTGAACTTGTTTCCCATTGACCGTCATTGTACCACTATTATTAACTATGATACCAGTAACCTGTTGAGCTGTAGTTGAGATTGGTACTTTTGGAAGTACATAGGTTGAGAATCCCTTTCCTGTTTCCATATCTGAAGCTGCAATCTGTGTGATATGTGGCATTTTTCCTCCACGTACTGAAAAAAAGTTCAAGCTTTAAAATCCAAGTACATACAATATGATATATAAGTACATGTATCACTTGATGCTTATTTAGGTGATGCTTTACTAATCACAGACCTATTGGCACAACAAATATAAAATGTGTAATCATTCAAAAAGTTCATTCAAAGATGAATAATCAATTCAAACTTACTTAGGTCTGTTGTCTCCAAGTCAAATGTAATAACCGTAGCTTCTTTGCCAGCTGATACAGTCGCGAATTTCCCACGGGGTACTGCTTCAGGTAACTGCTCAACATCTACATTAGTGGTATGCCCAATACCTGTGAAATGAAATAAGTACTGTAATAAAACGTAAAACTTTTCCATATGGTACTTATTCTTTATTTATATTTATTTGCAGTTAGAGGAAGTCGGCAAAAATAAAGTTTAAACAAGTGTTTTGTTAGTTTTCTTTGTTTAATGAAAATGAAACTTACCTGACTCATAAGTGGTCCCTTCTAACACTTCATTGGCTCCCTGTGTGATTACACATTCCTGCTTCAGGGTAACACGTCTTCTTTTTGTTGAGGGTAATTGGGATTTTAGTTGTACACGTTTTCTGCGCTTCATTTGCTTAGCAGCATATTTTACAGAAAATGTCCCGGGAGAAATTCCTGCTGCCATGTTGACCTGAAATAGAAGGATGAGTTGCTGACACAGCCTGAACAAAATAGTATGCTGTTGTTCTGTTTCTGACTATCTTTTACTTAGGAGCCTTTTATTAATTTCTTTTTACAATATAAATGAATACTTTATAAAAAAATATTTTTGTAACATGTATTTCATTGAAAAATACAAAACAAACTTACAACACTGGAACTGTAACCCTGCTTTGAAAGTCTACAAATACAAAAAACAGGAAAAACCAACATAAATTCAAAAACATTTAAAATAAACATGAAAAAGCATGCATCAAAAGAAAACAAAAGCAAAGTTGAATCACATTTTTGCAAAACAAACAACAATAAAAAGCAGTTTCTGTTGAATATATACCTCAGACACATAGCTTCGTCCTTCATTAATAAAGGCTGTTGTTGCTGCAACACGAAAGTCCAGGGACTCTGAATTTCCATAATGCAAAGATTTTGGTGCCCTCAATGTGACTTCGCGATTTGCATGTTCGCACTGTTGACTGGAGCCTAAATCAGCATATTGTTCAGCATTAGCAATAACTGGCTTGAACAGTTTTTTCAGCTTTGACTGTAGTTCATCATCTTTGAGAGCTGCTTTGTAGGGTAAACTTTTATGAGTATACTTCTCATTTGATGATGTACGTCTGAAGCCACAGAATCTGGGAAAACATAAACTGTGATCTCCAAATTGATGAGGAATCAACGCTTTGAGATTTTTCTCCAGTCCTTCCTTGTTCCTTTGGTTTTTGGCGAATGCATATTTGAGACATTTCTGAATGTGCATAATCACACTCCTACTGAGCTTTTTTCCTTGCAAGGCATATAAGCTTTTCCCTATGTTTTTCACGACGTGATTTCTGTCAAACCGTTTTTTCATGGTAATGTTCAAGTCTGATTTGATATGAGCAATCATAGTATTATCACCGTCTCCTTCCAGGTAATCAACAGGAGTTCCACCCTCAGAAAGCTCCTTGATGCCTTGAACCCCACTTTTACATTCCATTAACCGAGCACTACCGAAGTGATTTAGGACACATCTGTGCTTTCGGATTGGTAGTCCAGGTCTATTCCTCATCCACCACTTGCATGTGCCGCATGTTCGGTGACCCACTAGTGCTTTAACTACCTTCTTTCCATATTTGGCCTTGCTCATAAAGAACGTGTGTGCTAAAAATAAAGTTAAAAAGTTTGGTTGCATGTTTAAAATATAATTGCTGAGGCACATGTATGTCAGTATATTTTTAGGCAAACAGAATCATCATAATAAAGGTGAGGGTGGGCCTCGTTGGCCTCGTTGGCCCAGTGGACTAAGGTGCTACGATGGAACATATAGTCTTTCTCCTCATGTTTCTACCTTTATGGGAAGGTCCGCCACAGTACCTACTAAAAGTCACATGGGTTCTACCGTTTCTCCATCACTCATCACTGGCCACTGTCATATAGGTGAAATATTCCAAAGTGTTGTGTAAAGTAATAATAACAAAATAATGCCTCAAATTTCTTAATATACTTACATGTAAGACTGTCAAATCCCCTTTTATGCCAGGCTGTATCAACTGCACAAGACATTCCACTTCTGGTCTTGCATGGAAATCTTGATGCAAGTCTCACACGCTTCTTAGATGTTAATTAAGATCTTCTTGCCGGGTTGTTTGTGTGGGGCCTGAGGAATTTCTTTTATTTTGGCAACAAGGCTGGCTAGATTTGATGGAGTGTTTACACTGAAACACATAAAAAGAAAACTTTGATACACATCAATAAATGTTCATGTCTGGCATACCAATACAAAAATATGAATCAAATACAGCATGTACATTTTAAAAGTTAAATCCTTTCATAGCTAAAGCTAATAAGGTCTGTGAGTGAGTGAGTATGGTTTTACGCTGCTTTTAGCAATATTCCAGCAATATCATGGCGGGGGACACCAGAAATGGGCTTCACACATTGTACCCATGTCGGAAATCGAACCCGGGTCTTTGGCATGAGCGAACGCTTTAACCACTAGGCTAACTGACCGCCCCTAATAAGGTCTGTGATTACACCCGGTTTCCTTGGTGCTCTTAGGATAAGGTCCCCCACCTGGATGTTACACCAGTGAACCATTGCAGGTTAATCTGCAGTCGAAGTCGATGGCTATGTACAGCTGGCTGGGCTGAGACAATGCAGATAAAGTGACTTGTCTAAGGACACAACAAGCATCATCAAGTGGGTTTGCTAGGATTCGAACCGGCAACATTTTGATTGCGTGCCTAGTTGGTTAAACTCTCAATCATGCACTTGGCTACATGATCAAATAAAACTATTGTTTGAGCTGAATTTTTTCAAAATTCTCACCTGTTTGAAGATGAGACTGGTGGACTTTCAATATTCGATGCTTGAGGAGTCTGGTAAGAATGTCCACTTTCATTACCAGAACTAGCCTCAACTACTAGTACAGTAGAGGAGTAGGATGACATCAATAATCTGAAAAATTAAAAATGAATTATAAATTGTTTTCATGTATTGTCAAAATGTTTGTTTGAGATCAGTTATTGTTTAACTTCTGTGGTGGAGGAATTTAACTGTATAACTTTTTAGCTGCAAACACATTTTACTAATGCAAAGAACCAACCCGAATTATTGGTTCTTTTATGTGCTAAAACAATTTCACTCATGGAACCACTTATTCTACAGTCCCATCTGATGGATTGATCTTCCATGTCCCACAGAAATACTGAACCTATGGAAAAGTGTCTTGTTGTTTCTAAATGATATACAATAGTTGCATATACATTGTACAATGGAATATTTTCAAAATAATCTTATTTCCATCTGAACATATCTCCCACTATTCAACACAAGCTATACATGTACATACTAAAAATAAATAGAAAAGAATAGACCTAATTTCAGGAGGTGCGTCTGGTAGAGGACAAACTCCTAAATCTTCTATCACCTCCCCCATGATCTTTGCAGCTTGTCGACTCTCCTCTTCTGCAATGTCTCTGGACCAAAGAAATAAACCTGATGGGTTAAAGGCAGACCAGAGCAACAAAGTGAAAGAGGAATTCCAAATTCAAATTGTGGTTTTTTTAATATCCGACACCAATATGAGATGATATTCTTTGTTTATATTTGACGATTTCCACAATATCTACACACTCAGTTGTCATTAAACAATGAATTCATTTGATTCAGAGTATCCACCATGTTTATTGTATCCTTGTGTTATTAACAATTGGTTTGAACACAAATGACTAGTTTCATAAACAAACATTACTATGACATTGTATAGAACTTACTCCATCTCCATTCTAAATGAATCATTTGCAGCCTGTTGAGTCGACTTTTTTGCAACAGCTTCAACATAGCCTCCAAGCCCTCCGTTCCATGCTTTTTAAACTTCTCTGGTTGATGGGTTTGATATTTAATGTTGAAAGGAGATTATTCATCCTGTCTGGTCCCCCAACGCTATCGATCATAGCTGTAAATAAATATTAGCCACAATATAATTATATGAATGACTTTTTTTGTATATATTATTATCCCCCGCCGCGCGAAAGCGCGAAGCGGGGGATATAGTATTCACGACCGTGCGTACGTCCGTCCGTACGTCCCACCTGTTTATTGCCGCGATATCTCAAGAACTAAACACTGGATTGTCTTCATATTTGGAACTATGGTGTATATACAGACTCCGCAGACACCAGTCGGTTTTGGTGACCTTGACCCCATTTTCAAGGTCACAGCAGGCATATCTGCTTTTGGAGTTGGAAAACGGTGTTTCCGCGATATCTCAAGAACTAAACACTGGATTGTCTTCATATTTGGAACTATGGTGTATATACAGACCCCGCAGACACCGGTCGGTTTTGGTGACCTTGATCCCATTTTCAAGGTCACAGCAGACAAATCTGCTTTTAGAGTTGGAAAACGGTGTTGCCGCGATATCTCAAGAACTAAATACTGGATTGTCTTCATATTTGGAACTATGGTGTATATACAGACTCCGCAGACACCAGTCGGTTTTGGTGACCTTGATCCCATTTTCAAGGTCACAGCAGACAAATCTGCTTTTAGAGTTGGAAAACGGTGTTGCCGCGATATCTCAAGAACTAAACACTGGATTGTCTTCATATTTGGAACTATGGTGTATATACAGACTCCGCAGACACCAGTCGGTTTTGGTGACCTTCATCCCATTTTAAAGGTCACAGCAGGCAAATCTGCTTTTGGAGTTGGAAAACGGTGTTGCCGCGATATCTCAAGAACTAAACACTGGATTGTCTTCATATTTGGAACTATAGTGTATATACAGACACCGCAGACACCAGTCGGTTTTGGTGACCTTGACCCCATTGTCAAGGTCACAGCAGGCAAATCTGCTTTTGGAGTTAGAAAACGGTGTTGCCGCGATATCTCAAGAACTAAATACTGGATTGTCTTCATATTTGGAACTATAGTGTATATACAGACACTGCATACACCTGTCAGATTTGGTGACCTTGACCCCATTTTCAAGGTCACAGCAGGCAAATCTGTTTTTGGAGTTGGAAAACGGTGTTGCCACAATATCTCAAGAACTAATCGCTAACTTTTTATAAATCGGGCATAGCTACCGCGCACCCGGCTACCCGCCGGGTCTGGGAGCAATACTGCCTTAAATTTCATCCCCCCACCCCCAAGATACAAGGACAACTGTCACAAGCGTGCAATGTCTGACCCTTTTCCCATGTTGAAGCATACTGGAAAAAAGTTTACTATACTTACTTACCTTTCGTTGATAAAATAAGACAACATTGCAAACATAAGACATTAATAAAACATATGATATCATCGTGACATGAACAATAAGAAAGGCATGACACTGAAATATCTGATCGAAAACAGGACGATATTTGTGCTATACAGCCTTGGAATGCCAAAACTTTATGATAGCATTTTATTGGTCATTAAATGTAAAACAAAAATAAAATTTACCTGTTCCAAGCTTTGTGTTGATAACAAAACATGGCATCCCTGACTTCCCCTTCTTCTCCCTGTGTGTCTTCCCGTATGGAACCATGTTTATTTGCCCACATTCCGCGTTCTGACATTTCACGTACAAATAGCCGCTAAGTCCTTTCCTCATCTCACCGACAATATTCCCATACGTTAATGGAATAGGGCCCAATTTGCAGTACTTGCAAGCGACGAGATTTGAGAGAAGTTCCCCGAGCTCGACGATCCTCCGCCCTTCTTTCCATCCATCTCTGCTTGCGTATTTGCTGAGTATGATGTTTCGAAAAAGTGGACAGTCGTCGTCCTTGCAAGGATCACTGTAGCAAACATGACAAGCTGGGTAGTTGTGGTTGATGAGCACGTTCGATTTTAATACTTTGGTGTGATTACCGGTCTTTTTCTTTTTGAATCGACCACAGCTATCTCTGTCAGTCGCCATGATTGTTTACAATAAGGGGCATAACTCTTACTCGGTATTACTCAGTTGGAAACATCGGCAAAAGTCGTAGTTTTCACCGGAAGTGTCCCATTATACAGGGAATACCTTAAGAGAAACAAACAACAGACAACTTATCTTCTGGACTCTAACTTGCAACAGTCTGATGCTGTTTATCATGCAGGGAACGAAGGCAATACTGACGTAATCATGCAGAAAGCAGTTGACATGGCTACATATGACAGTCAAAGTAGACACAATTTTAGGATAATAACTTCTTTAATACTGTAAAGGCGACGTTTCGGTGTATATCCTTAATCCGTTGTCAAGCAAGACTGAATAAAGAACATTGTACAGAATATATATCGTAGTGGAGGATTAACAGTAGAGGATCTTGTTGAAATTGCTGGAAATAGATGCAACATCTATCTGAGACTTGGACAGTTTTTCAGTTTTCCTTGTCAGTTAAACCAAATGTCATTTGGAAAATTTCTTAACATTAGTTGTCTTATTTTATTTGGCTGAGACTGCTCATACAGCTGTCCCTTTCCTTACAACCTGTACAGTTTTCTTGACAAGGTGATCAAAAGAACACTCATCCAATATAATCCAAGATAATTTCTGTCTTACTTCTGGGTTTGTGCAGTGACAACAAAAACAATTGAGTACGATCAAATGTTTATCATATACAAGACATGGCATAAGATTCGGGGGCTGACTCGGTGTTGGAAAGGTAACTTGCGCTGCGGGTAAGTAGTATAAAAAGGCAGCCCTGTGGGTTTCATAAGTAAATTTGAAATATATATGAAAATGATTTAGAACTCTGCGGGTAGATCTAAAAAGGTAAATTAAAATATGTAGAAAGGGTGATACCCTGCTGGTATGAGTGAAAATGATAATACTTTGGGGGCCGCAAGCCATATAATGATTTTTTACAGAATGATTGACTTGCAAAGCCCCTTCCGAGCCAGCCCCTTGGTGGGGATGGATGGATGGAGGGTCGTAATGACAGCTGAGAGAACAATGGAAACAAGCTGAACGACATTGAGGCTCTTGTTGTTAATATAGAAAAACAAAATGACGTCACATTCGTAGTACTGAGCATCCGCTGTAGATAAGATATATGCATTCTGAGAAAATAGTAAGTTGATACAGAGAAGAAATGTGATCGTTCACAGACGATTCTGAATGATAAATGACAACTGGAAATAAAGGGAAAAA